CATGTCTTCACAAAATCATAACTTGAAATACATGCATTTCTAGAAGAAGTTGTGTTCTACAATGTTTTAGATATCATTGAGATCTTCAATTTTCATGTTGGAAATTTCCTTTTAATTATCTTGCATCATGGTGAAAATTTGGCTCAAAGTTATGAAAAAATATGAATTTTCCAATACTTCGAAAAATTTCTAAGTTTAGAAACTTTGACTTTTCAAAATAAAATCTTGACTTTTTGATTTCTTGATGAATAAGTTTCATATTTTTACATGCTTTGATGAATGGTAATCTTTGACACTTGATTTTGACCAAAAAGTCAAAGTTTTACTTTTCAATGTACAGTTGACTTTTCATCAGTTGACTGAAATTCAACTGTCAATCAATGGAACTTGAGGAATGTTTTGAGCCATGTCATTAGGTCAAAATGATGCATTTGAATCCTTGAGATAATAACTTAAAACAATCAATCATTTGCTAGGTCAAAAATCAGAAATTGCACCTTCTTAGTCAAAACCCTAATTTTTACCATTTTACCCTTTTGATGATCTGATCAAATTTCTTGAGGAATTATGATTCAAACTTGATTAGATGACATATATGAGTTCATAATATTGATATGGACCAAAAACTATGAAGTTTGACTATAAATTGACCACAATTGACTTTTTCCCCAATACAGCTGATTTTAGGTCAACTGATTAATTGACTGAGCAAAAATGTGATCCAAGACTTGAAACTTGACATGAGAAATCTTGAGGGTCCAAAATGATCCATGAAATTCATATGGGGCATTAAAAGTCTATTTGTCCTTGTGCAATCTCAAACCCTAATTTCCAGTCATTAGTGCTTGAGGAGGTGTTTGGAGCTGATCAATCCTTGTGCAGTCTTGAATCAAAGGAGATATTGTGAGAGATTATTTGAGAAATGAGAGAGAAAATTTTGGGGTACAACACAAGGTGATGAAGATAGAAAGAATGAGAGAATATATTTGATTGCTCTGCAAAATGAAAGCTACAAAAGTGTAGAGAAAGATTAGATTAAAATGACAGCTACTACTAATCTATTTATACACACCAACTAGGGCCACATAAACAATTAAAAATATTAAATTACCCTTCAATAAATACTAGTCAATTAGTAGTAAAGTAAAAGAAGTTCCACATCGAAAATTCAATAAGAATTATAAGTGTTTATAAAGCTTTTGTAAATAATACTTGTAAGATATTTAGGTAATGGGCTACTATGTAATGCAATCTTGTCTTTAGGCCGAATATAATATTTTAATAATTAATTAATAAAAAATGTTCAAAAAAAAATATTCATCTGAATTATCAAATTCTTGTTTATTAAAAAAATATAAATAAAAGTAAAAAAGAAATTTAAAAAACGTAAAAAAAAATAAAAATAAAAATAAAACTAAATTAAAAATTAAAGTTAAAACTTAATTATGACGGGGCATTACATGAGAACAATTTAATCCAGTCACACAACCCTTAAAATGCCAATTAAGAAGATTTCATTACACAATCATCTTAATAATGACAATAGGATGTCTAAAAATGAATATGGATTTTGTAGGAGTGGATCACAAAAAATATTCTTATAGGGATGAAATAAAAATTCACTATAATGATAAGAGCAACATATATTTAATTTCAAAAAGCATGAATATTCTGCAAATAAATAAATGCTAAAAGTAAAAATGAAAGAGAACTTTTGGAATTTGTTGTGTTTCTATTTGTTAGGGGCCAAATTTTAAAAATTAAAATTGGGCCTCCAAATTATTTAGGATGGTCCTAGTACACAAGTGATTAATATTGTATATAAAGTGGTTAATCAATTCATAATTTGGCTAACAAATTTTCAAATAAAAAAAAAATTAAATAGTAAAATAAAATTGGTTAATAGAGTGTAAAAGTTGATTAATATATTTAAATATTAGTGATCAAATATGATTAATAGTATGTATTTTATTGATTAATGAATAGTGAAATTGATTAACGAATTATAAGTAAAATAATTGGTTAATAAGCAAATTATTTTATAAACAAATTTTGTTTTTTTAGATTTATTGAATAAATGATGTATTTGGATTATATATAGACTAGATATATCATTTATTCAATAAATATAAAAATATAAATTTGTTTATGAAAGAGAATGGAGAAAGTATATTTTTGTGGTTAATACATTTATAAAATTGATTAATTTTATAAAAATGAATTTTAAAGTAATTTTTAAAAAAAGAAATATTTAATTAAATAATATTATTATTTTATTAAAAAATATTGTTTTCCTTATAAATATGGTGAATAGTGTATATGGTGTAAGGTATACTTTCAAGATAGCATAGCTCAATTTGAAAGCTTATTTTGATTTATCTTGGATAAACATGTTTTTTTAACCTCATTAATACATTCTATAAGGATATTTACCAAACTATCGTGGGCTAAAAAGATATTGCTAGAATATGTTTAAGAGAACTTATACAGTTTTTTTTTTTGTCTGGTACGAAAATTTGTTTATATAATATATTTATTTTAAATAGAGGATTAAAAAATGAAAAAAAAAAAAATTTAAGTCAATAATAAATTTTTTAGTATATAAAAATATTTAGATTAATAATAAATTTTTTTCCCCTATACTATTTTTAGATCATAAATACCATTTTTTAATATAAAAATATTTAGACAATAATATAATTTTTCCCGTATATAAATATTATTTTTGTTTAGGTATCACTTACAAAAATATGTGGATCAATAGTAAATTTTCGTATATAAAAATATTTAGATTAATAATAATTTTTTTTTCCGTATATCATTTTTGAATAAAAAATATTTGGATCATAAATATTTTTTTTTTATATAAAAATAGTTAGATCAATAACAGATTTTTTCCTATATACAAATATTATTTTTGTTCATGTATTGTTTACAAATATATCTGGATCAATAGGAAACTTTCGGATTTAAAAATATTTTGATGAATAATAGATTTTTGTCCGTATACAAATATTATTTTTATTTAGGTATCATTTACAAAAATATTTGGATCAATAGTAAATATCCGTATATAAAAATATTTAGATCAATAATAGATTTTTTTTCTCGTATACCATTTTTTTAATAAAGAATATTTGGATCATAAATATCATTTTTTATATATATAAATATTTAGATCAATAATAAATTTTTTTCTCGTATACAAATATTTTTTTTGTTTAGGTATTGTTTACAAAAATATCTGAATCAATAGTAAATTTTTGGATATAAAAATATTTAGATAAATAATAATTTTTTTTTTACCGTATTCCATTTTTAGAACAAAAGTATTTGGATCATAACTCATATATTAAAAAGAAGAAGAAAATTAAATAAACTATATTCAATACTAAATATATAATACAAGAAAGAATACAACTATGAAATGACATGAAAGAAGAAAGATAAATGGTACGTGCAATTGTTTTTAAAATATAATAAAAATGAAATTAAAGGAAGATAAATTTTTTTAACTAAAAGAGTTTATAATTTTTAAAAGAGATAATAAAAACATGTCTATATTTTTTTCGTATATAAAAATATTTGAATAAATAATATTTTTTTTCGTAGAAAAATATTATTTTTTGTTTTATCATTATTTATAAAAAATATTTTAATCAATAATAAACTTATTTCTATTTATAAAAATAACACCATTTATAAAAATATTTGGATTAACAATACATTTTTTTATCTATATAAAAAAAATTGGATCAAGAATATATTTCTTATAGTATTTGTAATTATATGTCATATGTTATGTTTTTTGAAAAATCAAATAAATAAATATTCTTTATTAATTTTTTTTTTAATTTTCGCTTATAAAGTTTAATTTAAGGTGATATTAATTGCAGTTTTATCAAAATTACTCCTAATCATTTATTGTAGAGAAAGAAAAAGTCAAACGGATGTGACAAATAAGATAAAATAAAACTTATTGTTTAAAAGATAACAACAATGATGATCTTTCTTGATATGTGGAAAAAGTTTAAACGTGACAATTATAAAGGAACGGAGTGAGTAATACATAATTTGCGGTTATTATTATATAATTATTATTTTTAATTTAAGAAGAAATATCAATTTCAAACAGCGAGTATTTGGTCCCTCAATATCAAATTATGTGAATTTTTGGTGGTTCCCTTCCATTGGTCAGTCATATTAATGACATCACACCTAAATAGTTCACCAGCCAATTGCCATGTCATTATTAATAATATATTAATCGTTTTCTAATTACTAATCTGATTTTTAATTTTCCACTAATATTTATATTATTATTATGAACTAAAAATTCAATTACCTATTATAAAATAACATCAATTGACTTCTAGGACTCCATCTTCGTTCATTTCATCTTTCCAAAAAAAAAAACCCTAACTTTTTCATCTCCCTAATCCGATTTCACCCACTATCCTTTCCCTGCACCAACGTAAGCGAACAATAACCCATAACTTTATCTTCGTAGTTCTTTTTGGAGTTGTAGTGTATAACCCACCATCATCATCTAAATCGGAAAAAAGACAAGTATTGTGCCAGGTATGTGTTTTTCTATGTCTTTGTCTATGGTCCCAATGTGTTGTTTTTCTTTTTTATCTGAAACCCTAATATGATAAGTCTTTGTATGTGGTTCCAATGTGTTGTCTATTGGTTGCCAGTGGTCCCAATGTCTCGAAACCTAATTGTTTAATCTGAAATTTTGTCCCTTTTGACTTATACATTTATTTATAGTGTTATACAAGCCACCCACACCATAAAAAATTAGGTTAAGAATTCACCACCAGGGTACACTTGTTTACACCCCTATTAAATGGTATTCGGATGGGGATGTAACAAAAATGACATTGGGATGAGATGTTGACTATATGTCTTATATATAGCTGGAGAATTTGATTAATATTGTGGGATATACAAGTATGAAGTGTCTTTGGTATGTGAATCATAGGTTTAGCTTTGCTATGGGACTTGCATCAATAGAAAATAATGTTGATGTATTGAAATTTGTTGAAGATGTTAAAGGATATAACTTGGTTGATGTGTATGTTAAGCATAGTGTTGATATCCCTAATATAGTAGATGAGGAAGAGTGGGGACGAGATGGGCCAAGTTATGATAATTATGATGTAGTTGAGGTTGATAATGATGTTGAGGGAGAGAAAGACAAAGATCTTGAGCATAATGAGGTTGATGATGAGGGTGATAAAGACAAAGATTTTGAGCATAATGAGGTTGACGATGAGTGTGATAAAGACAAAAATTCTAAGCATAATGAGGTTGAAGATGAGAGTGGGAACAATGCTGAGGATTCTATATACTTTAATTGAACTACACTCTTACCAGCTGAGACATCAGAAGTACCCCTTAAGAAAGATCTTGATGAGGATTCAGATCAACTATATACTCCTCCTGCTAGTGAATATGAACAAGAGTATGAGCATTTTCCAAATTTTCAAAGTGGTGAGACAATCAAGTTAAAATTAGGTTTGGTGTTTAACAATAAGGATGTGATAAAGGATGCAGTCAAGGAGTATGCTATGGTTAGTAACAAAAATGTATACTTCAAAAAGAATGATTGAAAAGGGATGGTAATTAAGTGTCGGGATGGATGCAAATTTTACATGAGTTTTAGAAAGAGGGTTGGAAACCAATACTTGCAAGTTGCTAGTTTATTTGATGAGCATACATGTGTTAGGACTCCATACAGTAGACAAGTCAAGACTGAATGGTTGGCTAAGAAATTTGCCCACATACTTAGACACACTCCATATATGAAACCAGTTGGGTTAATTACTGAAGCAATTGAAAGATGGGGTGTGAAATTGTCAGTTGATCGGGAAAACAGGGCTAATATAAGAGTAGTGGAATTGATACAAGGTGCTAGTAGGGACCAGTTTACTCACTTGAGGAGTTATGCACAAGAGTTACTAAATTTAAACCCTAATAACAATGTTGTTCTACAATGCTCTGAACCAACCGATGGTCATGTGTTTAAAAGAACTTATGTCTGTCTACAAGCTTGTAAAGCTGGATTTTCTAAAAGTTGTAGAACATTAATAAGACTGGATGCATGTTTTTTGAAAGGGGACTATGGGGGCCAGTTGATGGAAGTTGTTGGAAGGGATAGAAATAATCAAATATTTCCAATTGCTTATGGTGTTGTAGAAGTTGAGACTAAGGATTATTGAGAGTGGCTCATAAACCTTCTCATTGGGGACTAGCAATCTATTAATAATATATCATATGCTTTCATCTCTGACCAACAAAAGGTAACTAGCATGTATTCATGTGCTTTTTCCTGACCTATATTCATTTTCTATTATTTTCTGATTTGTGTTGATTTTCTATTAACATGGCCTTGTTCCAACAGTTCAGGGTATCAGTGAACATGTTGAGCCGAGGCTTTGTGTTAAGCATCTGTTTGGGAATTGGAAAAATAAGTTCCCTGGGATGGATTTGAAGGAAACCATATGGAGTGCATCAAAGTCTACTACAATTCCAGCATGGGAGAGGGAAATGATTAGGATGAAAACTTTGAATGAGGATGCCTTGAAATATATGAAGGATGTACCTGCATATTTTTGGACCAGATTACACTTCAAGACATATGCTAAGTGTGATCTATAAGTCAACAATATGTGTAAGAAATTTAACAAATCTATCTTAGAGCACATGGACAAACCAATTATAACTTTGTTGGAGGGAATTAAGAATTATCTCACTAAAAGAATTACTAGTCAAATGAAATGTTGCATAAGTACCCTGGAGATATATGCCTTAAGATCCAAACGATTCTTGAAAAGAACAAGAAACATGCACATGGTTGGACTCCTACATGACATGGTAATTTTTGGTGTAATCAATGAGATTGGAAAATATTGTGTCAACCTTAAATTAGGTAATTGTGCATGTAGGAAGTGGGACTTGACTGGGACTCCTTGCAGCCATGTTATCTCATGTATGTGGTAAATCAAAAAACCACCAGAGGGATATGTTTCTGAGTATTACATGTATGTTTAATATGCCTCATCATTATGTTTTGTGTTAATGTGTATCTATGTTTCTTATTATTATGTTGTGTAACTATGTGCATGAAAGCTAAGTTTCTATAGTGTTATTCAAACATCCTCTACCCAACTAATGGACCACAATTGTGGCCTGTAGATGGACAACAAGCAGTCATTCCACCATTGATGAGAAGAGCAATTGGATGCCCCAAAAATACGAGGAACAAGTTGAATGATGAGCCTAGAAATCCACATGTGATGCCTAGGAGTTTTGCCACAGTTACATGCCATAAGTATGGAGTACTTAGTCATAACATGAGAAGTTGCAAAGGAATGAGAGTTGAAGATAGAGTCATACCAAAAGGTTAGAGCAAAGCCAAAAAGGAAAAGACAGTCAAGTCCAAAATTAAGACAAAGATAACTTCAAAGACCAAGACAAATACAAAGGACAAGACCAAGACCAAAACAAAGGACAAGATCAAGACAAAGACTAAGACAAACACTGTAATTGAAATTGGTAGTTCATTACAGGGTCCACCTCTTACACAACCAACTCAAGAATAATTATAGGATCTACAAGTTATTATTTTGTTATGTGTGTTTTGTAATGTGATGAACAAGTTTTAGTCATAAACATGTTGTTTTCCAAGGTATGTTTTCTATCATAAACATGTTTATGTCATGAACAAGTTTTCTATTATTTTATGCTACTGAACAAGATTCTATGTATGTTTTGTGTAAATTTATACAATGCTAATGAACAAGTGTTATTTTCTACTACTGAACAAGTGTTTATGAACCAATATTTTGCCACAACATTTCAACTGAACAAGTGTTATTTTCTGCTACTAAACAAGTGTTTATGAACCAATATTTTGCCACGACATTTCAGCTGAACAAGTGTTATTTTCGACTACTGAACAAGTGTTTATGAACCAATACTTTTCCACAACATTTCAACTGAACAAGTGTTATTTTCTTCTACTGAACAAGTGTTTATGAACCAATATTTTGCCACAACATTTCAACTGAACAAGTTTTATTTCTACTACTGAACAAGTGTTAATGAGCCAGTATTTTGCCATAACATTTCAACTGGACAAGTGTATTTTTTGCTACTAAATAAGTGTTTATGAACCAATGTTTTGCCACAACATTTCAACTGAACCAAATCAACATTTTCCTTTCAATTGAACTAAAACATTAATTTCATTACTGAACCCAAACATTTATTTCATTACTGAGCCAACACAATTTTGACTGAACCAAAACAACATTTTCATTTAAAATTAAACCAAAACATTCATTTCATTACAAGGATATGTTACCTCAAAATGTCAACACCAACTTAACCAAAACAACTACTCCACTATATTTGACAACACTAATCCTAATTCCAATACAAATGTAACCGAGAAAGAAAATTTAAATATAAAGTTCATTGAATGCAACTTCATCTTCATTTCTTCAACTTTGATATTGGCTTTGTTCACTTTTGTCTTTTCTTGATACAATTTTTGGTGTAGTGAAGTGATTAGTTCATTGGCTCTTGCAGACATTTCCTCATCATACCATATACATTGTATGCACCTTTTATACTCCTGCAACTAGAATTAAATAACAGAGATGGAGAAATGTCAGACGAAGGAATGTCGAAACATTGAACAAAACAAAATTTTCGAAACTGCAAATATGAATATTACCTTGTACACCCCACACCCAAAAAAAAACGACCTGGGTTGGAATCGGTCCATGAAGTCATCAATGGAGCTTCGAGTCCACATCTACATTCGTTTCGAAATGAACGACTAATTGATTGATTGTTGGATTTCAATCATTGAGACATCATTTAAAAACGAAATTCCAACAACAAAGATCTAGGGCCTGCTTAAGAGGAAAAGGAACAAAGCGAAGAAGCTAAGCTAAAAGGGGAAAATTGAACCAATCTAGGGTTTAGAATCTGAAAACGATGAAGATGGAGCCTTAGAAGTCAATTGTAGTTATTTAATAATAGGTAATTGAATTTTTAATTCATAATAATAATAATATAAATATTAGTGGGAAATAAAAAATTAGAATAATAATTAAAAAATGATTTAATATATTATTAATAGTGACGTGGCAATTGTCGCACCGCAAAAAATACTCGAGTGCATCGCACACTCGAAATACAACAGAGTCGCCACTGAACTTTATTTAATCCAAATGAATGGGAAAAAATCGATAAAAACCAACAAATTCTAAGAGAAATGGTCATCAGAGCCAATTAGGGTTCGAGAGTCGATTATGCAAGGGAAAAGTGTTAGCACCTCTCACATTCGTTGTACTCAACATGATCCATTTAGTTAGTTTTGTAATCAAATGTTAGCTTATGTTAATTGTTCCTTCTAATTATTATGCGAGAAAGAAAAAAATAAAATGTTTTTGGTTTTTTATTATTGGGTACGACAAGATTTCAGAATCTTTTGCCTACGTATTCCATTATACAATGGGAAATTCAGAGCTTACGTAGTTCTTAGTTGAAAGAACTTTGTTTGTTGGTTGATTTTAATTGTGAAAATGAGCTTAGTCGCACTTGAGCAATAAAATTCGTTGTTTGAAAACGATTCACATTTGAGCAATGGAAATCAAACTTGAGTGATTAATTGTAAAAGACTCACACTTGGGCGAAATTTGTTGAGTTTGAATAGTTTTTAAGTTTATGAAAAAATGTCATGAAATATTGTTTATTAGTTTTGAAAAGAGGGCTTGACGTTGACCAAGTTTTATTTGCATTTGAATTTTTATTGATGAAGATGATTTTGATTTATTTGTGAAATTGGTGAACGATCGATAAAATATTTATTGAGAAAATCTACTTGATGTTGATCAAGCGGTTTTGAAGTTATTTTTGATGAAAGACTTGTTTTATGTTTCTTTTGAATTTATTAACAATTCTAACTAAAAATCGAAATGGCACCAAATAAAGTTAAGGCGAGACATGAAATAAAATAATCAAATGAATCATACAAGAAAATAAACACATAAGGATCAATCATACATGAAAAGAGCCGACGCAATCAACAAGAATAATAGTGTTTTTTAAATTGACTCGAGAAAGCATCTTATTGAAAATTGTCTAATTTTGAAAGATAAGTTTCTTCTAAAAAAAGATCTAATTTTTTCAAACTGGATGGACCAAGAGGTATTGAGCCCATTTAAAAGAAATCCTAAATTAAAAATGAGGGAGACGGACAAATCAAACATCCGCTCACTCCTCTCTCGTTCCAAACTGCAAAACGCGAGAATCGAGATCCTCTTTTTTTTGTTTTTACTGCAAA